TTCAGACATGTTTTACCCTTTCCAAAAATATACGATTTCTATATAGGTTTAGTCAGGTGAGACATCCGCGTTCACAGGACAGCTAAAACAAAAATACACAACAATTTTATTTGTGATTGTGGGAGACCAATAAGCGCATGTGATAACTACCCTAAGTAGGTTCAAATCGACTCACTCAAACATGGCCTTCTTGACTCCTGAAATGGCTAAAAAGAGTATATTTTGAGAAACATGAATTTCAAAATAATTTTTTTTTAACAGTAAGCCGATATTATTTTGAAATGCTTTATTGCGTTTATATAGGGTAAGGTCTTGGTTAACAAAATAAATTTAAAAAAATTTGTTTGTCAGTAGCCCTAAGAAGATATGAATGTATAAAGTTACGTTATTTACAAAAAAAAATTGAATTTTTAAAATAATTGGCAGAGACCCGTAACGGTATCGATATCTAAATTTCTTACGTTGGTTTAAAGAGACAAGACTTGTTAACAATTAGCAGTTTGTTTGATAACAATCACTTGATTAGGAGAAGAACTACAATTTTTTGTAGTTAACTTTGCATGGTAAATTTTGCACGGTCTTTAAGAAAAAGGTTAGGGAGTAAGAAAAAAAAAGTATTGATTTTTGGACTTCTTAGGTCTTTGTCAAGTCACAGTTAAAAAATAAAAAAAAACTGAGGGTATGAGGGGCACTCGTTGGTGGCTAATTAATGGAATTACCCCACGGGAATATTGAAAACCAAATTCAACGCCAAAAAACAAGAGCTCTGCCATTACAAACCTAGCAGTCCCGGTAATACAATACAGCTTCGACATCATCAAGTGGACGCTAGCAGAACTCAGAAAAATGGACAGACAAACCCGGAAGCTACTCAACATCCATGGCGAACTCCACCCCAAAGCCAACGTAGACCGGTTATACTTGCTAGGAGTCGGAAAAGGAAACCATCCAGTTGCATGATGGAAGTGGTTCACCCATGCAAATTTGAAAATAGAAACCGAAGCACTGGTAACTGCATGTCAGGAGCAAGCTATAGCCATTAACGATATGAAGGAAAGGATAATGAAGGCAGACATAGACCCAAAATGTAGACTATGTCACGCCCATTCCGAAACCATCCACCATAATATAGTGTCCTATGCTCTATCCTAGCGAAGAAAACTTACCTGAACCGCCACAATACAGCCCACCTATACTAGAACACGAGCTAGAACATCTGCAAAGAGTATGGAGTAAAAAAACATGAAAAATGGTACAAACAGAGCCCGGACCCCGTCATCGACACTCCTGAAATCACAATAATATGGGACACACAAGTGGAAACAGATCGGACCATACTAGCAAACCAGCCTGACATCATAGTGAAGGACAAAAAACAGAACACATGCATGCTAATAGACGTAGCAATCCCTTCGGACTAAAACATCACCCAGAAGGAAGCAGAGAAACGCTTGAAATACAAAGATCTACAAATTGAAATACAACGGCTTTTTAATTCAATGGCATGCCTTTTTCTCCACTTCTACTTCCACTAAACACCCATCTTGAGTCTATAACTTCAGCATTTTCTGGAGGCACTACCAATTTCCACGTTTCACTACTTTTTAATGTACTTTATACCTCCTTTATTGCATTCTTGCAACCACAATCCGTCTTCACAGCATCCTGATAATTCTGCGGCACATCTGCGAAGAAATTTCCTGCATTCAATGCCGCAAACAAATTTAAGAAATCATCGAGAACATAATCCTGTAAATGCCTTTGTTGCGCTCTATTTATTGTACTTTTTTTAAAATTTACTTCATAACTTTTCTTTTTCAGGTTCTGATTCTTCTATTTGAATTTGTTGTTCTTTTTCCTTATTGTTTATTGTTAATTCTCTATTTTTGTCACTCTCACGGGTATAATATTTTGATTGCTTTCCCTCTTCATTTCATTAAAAATCACATTTTTTGTATGAACCAACTTCCTTTCATTTATATCCCACAATCTATACCCATTGTCGACATACCCAACCATAACCAATTTTTCTTATCGGGGGGTTTCTTACTATTACAAATTTCTACTGGTGTCTTGTGATCTAAAGTTCTTTTCTCTAATCGGTTAATATATATATATATATATATATATATATATATATATATATAATATAGCAAGTTGCTCTAACCGTTTCTCCTTATGGACCGTGAGATAGGGCCTGTTTAGTGGAGTCATTTTTTTTCTCTGGCATTTTGAGGGATGAATGTGGCTAGTTAGCTGATGAGAATATAGGTGGTTTTAGTGCTTGCCACCTGTTCGAAATGTCAACAGAATGTTTCGCCGGAAAACTCGACTTCGAGCTGGGATTACCGTCTGGCGATTTTTCAGCGATATTTACACAACAAAACCTTTCATTCTCTCGATTACCAGACAAAAAGTAAACGCGGAAGGTTCTAATCTTTTCAGTTGAAAGTTAACACTCATCCCCACTTTTTCAGCTATTGAAAAGCATCTAGTATTTTTTATGGGTGAATTATTTATCAATGTCAATCTTTTATTTAGAAGCCAAAAAATTTGAGATCATTAAAAAAAAAAATCCTCATGTAAATCAATTTTTTTCCTCCTGCAAATTTTCGAACAGGTGGCAAGCACTAAAACCACCTATATTCTCATCAGCTAACTAGAACATCCCTCAAAATGCCAGACAAAAAAAAATGACTCCACGAAACAGGCCCTATCTCACGGTCTATTACATTTCTTTATCTAATCCTGGATCAAAAATAAGCACCTTGCCTTTTCAATCAAAGTACGGTTAAACCGTTCGGCCAATCCATTTTGTTCCAGAGTATACCTGACTCTATATTGAATTCTTATTCTAATGCCTTTTTCCTCACGATATTTCTTGAAATCTGTCGATATGTACTACCCTCCGTTGTCACATCTCAATTTTTCAATATGCATGTTAAACTTTGCCTCTACCATCGCAACATAACTTTTCAGTTTGTCAAATGCCTCTGACTTATTATTTAGCAAATATGTGTTACAAAAATGCGAGTAATGGATTATAAATGTCATAAAATATGAGTTACTGTCGTGTGTAACTGGCTCAGTGGAGACTGTGTCCAAAACTCTACTTGCCTTTCTATCTGAGGGTGTATCTTCAAATAGACACTCTGTTTACTTTGAAATTGCACATACTTCACACAAACCTGGTCCTGGATACTTTGCAGAGTGACCCATTTTTCTATGTTGTAACCATATTTTCTCTTCTGTGCTCAATGTTGTGTTTGCCCTAGCTTTGATCTCAAGTTTAGAAAATACAAGTTTCCTGTTAATTTTTCTTCAAGCGCCACTACTTAATTTTTGATTATTTGTACTTTTCCTTCTTTAAATAGTACCTCATAGCCATTTTCTTCTAATTTCCGCACAGATAACAGGTTATACAACAACCCTTCACACATCCAAAAAAATTTTAAAGTAACTTTTGTTCCATTATCAGTTTCCAATTCAAGATTTCCTTCAATTTTTGCCTGAATATTTTGTCCTTCTTTTGCTACATTGATTTTCCTACTTACCACCTTCTTTTCAGGGATATATTTACTCTGCCAACTGACTTCCAACAAGATGATTAGTTGCCCCGCTATTTACCACAAAGCTAATCTAATCTTCACATAGCCACCTCCATAGCTGCCTCTAAAACCTTCTCTATATCCTTGATGATCTCCATGGAAACCTCCTCTGTAACCCCCTCGGTTTTGAGGACTATTCTGACCTCCTATGTCCGATTTCATTACAAAAATTACATCTAAAAAGAAACTGTTTATTTTTGCTCGCTCTCAGTACTTACACTTGAACCTCCTCTATTGTAATTTTTTCCTCTAAAATAGTCTTACCCCAAAAGCCCTATTTGGTTTGCTATAATCATTCTCTTTAGCTTTGTTCTTCCATTAACAACTTGCTTTTTACAAACTCACGGTCTACAGCGGCTTGATTTTGACAAAACAATGTCTATGGCTGTCGTTACACTTTGGAAGGAATCTGGTAATGCTGAAAGAAGTTGTATCTAATATAAGTTCATTTTTATTTATGCGCTAGTGTCCAGTATATCTTCCGCTGTATTCTTTTCTTTCACTGATTCCAAAATATTATCAGATAAACACTGGATAATTATTGTTCTTGCCTTGACATCTGCCCTGCCTCATTATAGAATTGATCATGTGGATTTAATATCATCATCGATTCGTTTTCAATTCACCACTAACTTTTTGAGACACTGTCGTTTAATTTAGGACTAACCTCCTTCGGTGGCTGACTCCGTTTTATAGATCGTCGTTGCTTCTAGAATTTACTAGATAATCTGCTGTCCTTTCGTATTCTGGACTATTGCGCCGAGAGATTTAAAACAATACATACTCAAAATCGGACTCATAAGCTCTTCCAGTTTTGTGACTTTCTGTTTATGTTGGATGCGGCATGAGCAACCTTATGTTGAATATAGCATGGACACTTTTATATAACCATTAATACCTAGGCATATCGTATGTGACCATATTCCCCTTTACTATTTGGTAAGTTTTTTGATGTATATATACATCCTAATCTTGTAGAATTTATACTGATGATGGATCTATGATAGATCCGAAACATGTTCAACCCCCGTTTCAACTGATTATATTTTTTATAGAATAAAGAGTGAAGATAGACTATGTGTTTTACTCCAGTTCTTTAATACATACTTTGGTATGCTCTTATCGACTCTGTGCTTTGTATAGCCATTTGTAATGCTTTTGATTTTTGGTCGATTTAAGAAAAGAGAAGCTCAACAATTCTTGCATTGGTGCAGATAATTGTGGGCCTAGAATATCGGCAAAAACCTTATTAACTATTAAATACGATTGTTCGAAACTCTAAGCGCAATAGACAAAATAGAGATGTCCGGAAAATGCGCGATTCCACGTGTGGGAAAAACTCTCCCCGTGAAACTCACGGTGTCGATGATTATCTGGCATTTCGTGTTTCAGACGCGACTGGGACACAGCAAACGCGAACGTCGAAACAAATCGCCCGGCCGACAGGAATCGTCCGAGTACGCTGCCGATTTGTCAAGCGAGCACAGCAGCCCCAGTACTGCCAGTCCTAGACATCGAGGATACAATAGGACAGGTAATTAATTTAATATTTTTAAAAAAAATGAAAAATTATCAGGTGTTTATGTTTTACTTATGCAACATTTTACATCTATTTTTTTGTTGTTGAAAATTACCCTTTTTTACACGAGGAAATAGTTTGTAAGGCATGAGCCCTCGCCTGAGCCCATTGAAAACTTCGTTAGCTACAGGCCGGTTCAGTGGGATAACAACCATGATGCCATCATAAGGTGTAAGTGAGCCTACTACACTTTATTTTTTTCCAAGATAGAATCTGACATTGTTAACTTTGAAACATAAACAATGCCGCCTATTGGTTGAAAGATGCCATTTGCAGGTGTTGCATTGTAAAACTGATGTCAACCTGTAGGGACACCTCATTTTGCGACTAATCAAGGCCAAGCGGTATTGTTTATGTTTCAAAGTTGACAATGTCAAAATCTATCTTGGGAAAAAATAAAGCATAGATGTTATTATTTCACCGAAGCATTACAAAGCACACAAATAATTAAACTTTTTGTGCTTTGTAAAACTTTCTCATTTGTTATGCTCCCTTGTGCACTGACGAGAACTTGCAAGTTCGAAACCGGTCTGTACCTATCTAGCGAAGTATCCAATGAAATATACATCATCATTGACATTAGAAAATCGTTATCGATGGTTCTTGTATCGCTTTGTAGAAAAAATTGCAGAAAGTAACTTGAACTTGACTGCTCAAATAGCGGTCGTGTACGAGAAAATTCAACTTTCCGCACTTGTTAGCATAATTTATTGTCTGAGTCAAGTCACGTTACATGACTTCATTGTTTGCAAAGTATGGAATGAAGTGAACTCTTTCGATTTGCATTATTATACTTTTTCTTCACAGTTGCGTGATTGTTTTCATGGATAAGAAAAGTGTAGTTTTGTAGGGAAAATATGTTTATGCAAAATAATTTCAATAGAAACTATTAATTTTTAACTACTCACACGCAGTCCTAATAAAATGCCTGGAAAGTGATTATTTTTAAATTCTCAAAAGCGAAAGATTCAGTTTTCCACTTCAATAATTTTACAATGTCGTTAATCCTAATTAGAAAGTTTATTACTCGTCAAAAGGCTTTTCAATGTGCCAAAAACGATAAATCAGTTCGAAGGGAATTAGTTCCAGAACCGTTTCGAATTGCATTTTGCGTATATGAAATTTCAAATTCCGTCCCGATGTTTTAAGTAGTCAGCTGATTAAAATAGAAAAATAAAATAAAATCATACATTTTCCGATAAACTATAATATAGGGTACAAGATATACATTCAAAATATTCGTTGTGAACCGCCTCATACATATTTCATGAGTTTCATTATTGTGTCTGCGATATAAGCAGTAATATTTTGTGGTTCAATTTAGAGCTGCATGATAAAAAATAGAAAAATTCTCTTCTTAAGCAAAATAGGTCAACTTAAGAGATCGATAGTGCAAGATTTAAAAATACGATCCTCGGCAATTTCTAAGTGGATCTTAAGCCGTCCTAACTCAAAGCAATCTCGTGCGATAAATGGAGCTTAATTATGGATTAACACCAGCTTAGAATGTTTTTAAGTCCTTCCGACGAGATATTTCGAAATTTCCTCCTCCAAGAGAAATATTTGGTTTCATTTGAAGGGTGCAATTGTTTGAAATTGAACTTTGTCAAGGGTCAGCCCTAAATTCACGCTACTCTATCTAATTTGAATATTTTGCTAACTTTTTTTTATTTAATTTGTCTTGTTTTATAAAAATATTGTTAAAATTTCAAATATTCACCGCCAGAGGGCGGAAATCGGTGAGCTATAGTTCATAGTTCCATCAGGCCACAGCGGTCACCAGGGCGGACACCATCAACCCATTAATAACAAATTCGAGCAATTTTTATCAGTAATTACCATCTCTGGTCTTATATAATGGCGTATATAGGGTGTTACAAATTCATGAGTAAGTATGGGGATCGCCGATAACCATAAGAGATACAAGGTCGGTTAAATAGGGGCAAAGTTACGCAATTTTTTGCTCACCAAAATACCGTGGCATTATCAAATTTGAAATCTGACGGCCATCATTTCTTAACCTTGTCAGAAAAAAATTAAATTTTATTTCTGGATTTTCATCAAAAGATGCCGGTGTAAACCCAGTCATTTCGATAGAGTTGATACAGAGCGCCATTTATGACTAATTAAGTCAACTATAGAAATTGCATTGGCTAGCTTTGGGTGCGTTTACATCAGAACATTGAAATATTATAGAAATAAGAAACTTTTACTGATTATAGTTGTTTACTTATAGTCGGGGAGCTGGCGTCGAAAATATGCAAGAGTTTTCGCAAGGCTCATATTTTCAGAATGAGTAGCATTTTAGTGCTACAAAGCTAGGCTACAGTCAGCAGTTCCAGTTCCGGGACACCTGGCGCTGAGATGCGCGCAAAGGTGTATTTTTAATCAACACCTCGCAACAGTTTTCGCAAAGCTGAAAATTTGCAAAGAGCATGCGAATATAATGTAGAACCATAATTTAACAGTCAGACAAAGAAATACGGGGACACGTAGAGTCAGCGCGACTTTGAAGTGGTCAAAAAAATGACGCCACCGAAAGTGTTTTCGCATGGCTGAAATTTGGCAAGGTAACAGTAAAAACAATATATTTATTGAAAAAAACTGTCAGACACTTCTATGTCGGGACCCCGCCAGTCAGCAGTCGATTAAAGTGATATAGGTGGTAGCGCGCGTCAATAAGCATATATCCATGTCGAATAATAATTTCACCAAAAGTGTTTTCGCATAGCTGAAATTTGGCAAGGTAATAGTAAAAACAATATATTTATTGAAAAAAACAGTCAGACACTTCTATGTCGGGACTCTCTCAGTCAGCAGTCGATTAAAGTGATATAGGTGGTAGCGCGCGTCAATAGAATTTTACTCTATATATATCCATTTCGATGAATAATTTTATTTTTATAATTCAAATTATTTGGAATCGGAAACGGTAAAATAAAATTGTACATGCAGTTAAAAATATTAAAAAGTTTGCGGTTAGAAAAAAGTCCGATTCGTATAAATATTACTTGACCATTTAATCAGCAGTACATTGATAGAATATAGTAATTAAATAAATTCAGTTTTAATTATATTTATTTACGAATAATGTATAATGTGCGTATCATATTTGTGATTTTGGCAGTATAATGACATATGTTATTCCTCCAGGGATTAATGACGAGTAGCGGGATTAATGGTCATTATTCCACAAAAGTGTCAGTGTCAAACGTGTAGTGCTTGTGGATTTGTATTGAAAATTATGAGACGGATGAAATTTGTTCATTGAAAATCTCAAATAAATTAATTTGTCGTAAATAAAGTAGAGTATACTACTCGCAATAATGGCTATTATTCCCTCGGAATGTTACTCCCTCGCCGCTAACGCGGCTCAGTTCGTAATAATCCTCGGGAATAATAGCTATCATTATTAACTCGTGGTATAATCTACTATTATTGTAGTTTCATTAAATACTTATAATCGTCGCCGATTTTATAAAATTCAAAAAAAAAATTCTAATCACTTAAATAGAAAAAAATTAATGGGGAAAAATTACAAAAATGAAATTCAATTTTCCAAATCACTGTCATCGTGTTCTTCACCACTTTCTTCGTCAGAATAAAATGCTACTGCTCCGTATTCTTCGACACCCTCTGTACTTGTGGATTCCGAATCTGCGTAAAACAAATATTCAATGATAAGTAATCACTCACATTAACAAACAAAATTTCGAATTATATCTATGAATTTATTAGCCAAAATTACCTGCAGATATTTCATCCGGTTGAATGATTACGTCCGAAATAAAATTGGGGAGCTGATCGCCTTCGTACCAATCGAAATTATACCGGCCATCAGCGAATTGCCAACCATTTAGCTCGGGCATCATGGAAGTCGGCACTTTTTCATCGGCGTGACTCCAAATATTTGAAATATACGCAGATCTTTTCATATGCTTTATTAATTCTGCCTTACATGGTGGTAAATTAGAAGCATCGATGCTTTTTGTAGCGATTTTGAAAGCGTCGCTGGTGTCATTAAACGTGTAGGCTCTATTGAAAAGTATGAAGCGAGCTTCGTTCACATTGTGTGTGTTTTTTATGCTATATAGTTGGCAAACTAATTTTTCTATTTCTTTTTGAATTTCCTCTGTAAAATTATCATTCGATGAACTCAAATTTTGAAATGCATCCTGCAACGTTCTCGATGCTTTCAAGATGTTATACGGCCGTTTCTTTCCCTTTCTAAAAAAATCCGGATTGAAATCGCATCCGGTAAACGCATGAAAAGCAGGAAGCGCTGCACATAAAGACTGACCCATTTTTTCATAGAGCTGGGTTACGTTGATATTAAGGTGGATGTTACCAACTCCAACTTTCATCCAAATCTTCACATTACCTTTTAGTTTCATCATATTGCCCAGTAGAATGACCAGTATATCGGTATCGGAACACCGAATCGATATATTTGCGTCATTTTCAATTTGACAAACATGATGTACAATTTTTGTGTCCGCCTCTTCATGATCTGGACATAACAACGTATCATCAATGCTAGTAATGACGAATTCATCAATTACTTCGAATTTATGACAGGAAATGTAATTGATATAGAATATTTTGTTTTCGAAGAACGGTAACATTTCCTGTTTTCCCCAATGTGTTATTAAAAAATTCACGAAAGCTTGTTTGAATTTTTTATTTCGCAGTTCTCTCACGAAGTCAGCTGGTCGACATTGTTCTTCTCCAGTGATATGATAATCACCCTTGTCCGATGTGTCCCGAAGGGATGACAGTGATTTGGAAAATTGAATTTCATTTTTGTAATTTTTCCCCATTAATTTTTTTCTATTTAAGTGATTAGAATTTTTTTTTTGTATTTTATAAAATCGGCGACGATTATAAGTATTTAATGAAACTACAATAAATATAATTAAAACTGAATTTATTTAATTACTACATACTATCACAGTACTGCTGA